TTATCTCGTTACTCCGTGCTTCGGAAGGCACGTTAAGCCGTTGGTCTCAGCTGCATTTGCAGTCGTTAATACGCTCCAATCCGCATTGGGCCAGCGTGGAGGGTCATGGCCCATCCTCCTTAATCATCCATAAGGAAGGCCTGAGCCCCTGCAGTGGGGACGTAAAAGAGCTGATGATGATGACCCGAGTCTTTCAGTACGCAAGATGCCCCAGAAGTGGTCTTGGACCCGACGGGCTCCTTGCCGCATCCCGGCCCCCTCCCCTCCTCCCGCGAGAGTACTCGCAATGAGTTTCTCGCGTTTAAGTCTCCATGCCGTGTCAGTAGTTAGACGTGTCGTGTAGGCATGCGACTGTGTCTCACGGAACACGGCACACTTGGTTTATGTGGGACCGTGAGAAGGCCTTTAAAACGTTTCACTCACTGTTACAGGAACAACGGTGTCCGTCCAACATTCTGTCGATACGACGCCTTTGGAACGTCGCTAGTGTGCTGTAAACTAAAAAAAGTAACCAGACTACAGATTCCACAGCCGAGGGCACCAGAGTGAGTTAAATGAAAGTAATTATAATGAGAAAATATTGTAAGCACCTCCACTAGACTCTAGCATAAGTTGATTTTTGCATGAAACGAATGGACCAAAGACAGTCATTTTCGTCCCTTTTAACTAACATATTAAAAAACTGAAATTTGCAAAGTTCGAAACTTAGATATCAATACAAATACGAAAAAGTACAAATAGAATATGAGTTGTGTATTGAGTTTTGAAAACTAATTTACTTTCATACATGTAAGAAAACCGGAAATATTGTCATGCAGAAATTAAGAAAGTACCGTAGCGACATTTAGTTTGATTTCGGGAACTTATGTTTTTTTTTTTATTGAGTACTTCCTTAATTAATTAATTCAAAATGTAAAAAGGGCATACAAAATAAAATACATAAGTAAACGTTAGAAGTCTATTTGTGCTCACTACACTCGCTCGACCCTTCCGTAATATTTGTGTTCAGCTCGCTGTTGTAAGGGACTCGCTTCACTCGCTCTACAAGTCATATTTGAACAAAAGATAGTTCGGTATCCTAATCCAATGTTATTTAAGTTATTTAATACCTGCCCTGCGATTCTTTTCAAATCCAGACCCGAATTCGAATTCACTTATAAGCACTTTCGCCGTCGTCACGTGAACTCGACACGATAACGCTGATGACGCCATCAAGAGACATCAAGACAGTAAGAGACACAAGTAGCTCGGTAAGGCGTAGTGGATAAGCGCCGCGGCCCGCGATCGTTGTTGTTAAGCAACTTTCGCAAGGGTCGGTCACGGGATGGGTGACCAAAAAAAAAAATTATCTCGGGCTACTCCGTCCTTCGGAAGGCAAGTTAAGCAGTTAGTCCCGGCTGCATTCGCAGTCGTTAATACCCTCCAATCCGCATTGGGCCAGCGTGGAGGGTCATCGCCCATCCTCCTTATCCTTAAGGAAGGCCTGAGCCCCTGCAGTGGGGACGTAAAAGGGCTGATGATGATGATGAAGAGACATCTGCTCAATCTTGAATTGCTAATAAAGTTTCGTGACATAAGTGAAATGACTTTCGAAATGACAGTCTATCGCAATCATTTTCGAATTACTCAAGTCGAGTACCCGAGTACCTGCTAGGTATTCGAGTACGTACCTAGGGAAATTATCATTACTACCGTATCAAAGGAAGTGCAACTTTGTCGCCCTGAAATTAGCAAGTTTGATTTAAACTTGCTGCAAGTTTCCAAGTTTAAATTGCTATCTGGGACATAATATGGAATCAATAGAATTTCTTCACTAAATTACGTTGATGATGAATAAGGACACATGAGTGAATTCGAATTCGGGTTCGAATAACAAGAAATAGTAGACTCTAACTTTTTAATTTAGTCAATTTTTTTTTAAAATTAATTGTCTTTTCATTCAGACCAAGTCCAAACCCGTTGAAAATTTTTGGAACCAGGAAAGGCAATGAAAGAAGTAAGTATACTTAATTAGTACTTTTTGGTTACCAACATTATTGTACTGAGCAACAGCTATTCGTTAAAAATATAGCGTAAAAAGACAGCGCTGTCACAGCATTGAAGTTCAATCCGACATTTTAAAGGATTCCAATTAATGTTTTTATGACAGATTTTAGAATGTGCAACCATAAAATGTAGGAACCCTCCTTACTCTTGTCACACATTATCACACACATTTAGTTGACCCCCTTAACCTGTGACGTAATTTATAGTTAACTCTCAGTAACATTCGATTCCCAGTCGGTTCAATTTAAAAAGTGGACTTTCCTGTATCATCTCGGGTGTGCTTGTGATTACTGTTTCATATTTAAAGAAGGTCCTGGCTTTCTTTACTCTTTACTATTAAGTAAAGAAATTGCTTTTATTTTATGCACTTGATATTTTTTGACTGGAACAATAAAAAGATTATTCACAAATCACAGTAGTTTTTTATTATAGCAGCCATAGTGCAGAACTAATATAGTTATCTATTCATAAAGTTATCATAGAAAAAAACATACTTTTAATTTTTAGTAATACAAGAGAAATCACAGGCACACCGTCACAGCCATGTTTTAGTCATAGCCAGTGCCGGACTAACCTCGTCGAAGGCCCGGGGCGGCATCAGGCTCGAACCTACAACTTCTTCCTACCGGGGCAGAAAGTTGATGCAGGCTCCAAAGTTTTACATTCAAACTTTATCCAAACGGGGTAAAATACATACCTATGTCCCCCGGTACTCATTTATAATGTATAACTTAATTACTTTTATTTAATTTAGGGACTTTAAAAAGATGCCCGTTCTATTGTAGATTAAGTGTATGAATTTATTTTAAAAAACATTGTTTTATACACATCATTTTAGCACTGACACTGGCACCAGGGGTAAGTGCACTTTTACCCCTCCGCTCGACCCCTAGATCTGGCCCTGAATTTTGCAAATTGCCAACAAGTTTTACGTAGCTGGTCACCAAACATATTCCTGTCTCCTCAGACCAAATAAAAAGTAAAGACGGAGTTCGCTGAATAACAAAGTTTATTAAATTTATTAAATATCATTTCCATACAACAAGAAAAAAATTCATAACGTAATTTGTGTTTTGTTAGAAATAACGCGTTACAAAATTAAAGTTACCTGATTTCGGGGTAAATAATAACGTTTAACGATGGTAATATTTGGCTGAGGTTTTGTGTTCCAAGCAATTACTTAAATTTAATTTTTAAATTACTGAAAATGTAAGTTTTCTTCTATACTTATGTGTGAAATGTGATTCCATCCTGCTTTTTTATTTTTTGAGGATTGGTTTTACAACCTTTTACTTAATTCGGCAGTTAGTAAGAAATTTTTGATTTTTTTTAAATGAAACGTTCCGCACGCTGTCTATAGTTAGACTGATAAGGAAGGCGTAGTTTCGTTATGTATGTGTGCGTGAAACTGTGTACGAATACGCCGAGGCGTAGTTTTGACGGCTTCACTTTTCTGTTAGGCAAAACTCCGTCTATACTTTTTATTTGGTTTGTGCCTGTCTCACTTAAGCTAATTTGATGTCTAAGCAATATAAGTAATATTGCCTTTCTATTATATTTTCTTAGAAACGGATGAAGATGGTGACAGCTGCGTGGAAGATTATACTGGCACACTGGGTACTTGTACACCGTTGGAGTCATGTCAATCCGCGAAAATGAATTACGAGTAAGTTGACATAGCGATTTTGTATTAAACTAGCTTTCCGTAAACACGTATTTTTTTATTTTTTTCCTAATCATAAAATTACGGCGTTACATGGAGTTGAAATTTCGCATGACGTCACGTTAGAGTACGTTTTCTACTCAACAGTGACGTAGCGAGCCCCCACTCCTCAACTTCAATGCCTGTTATCTAAGCTATTTCATGTTAATTTGAAGTAAAAAAAAATACGTATCTAATATTTTTCTATTATCTGACTGACGGACTAAATAGAATTGCATTTCTTTTACCCAGTCATCATCCCTATTACAATGACAAATTGAAAAGCAAACAATAGTTACTATGGTGACCTTCTAATTCCTCATACAAACTTCCACTTCCATTTTCATTCCTTTTATTTACAGCCCTGCGATTCAGTAAAAATCCAAACCAGAAATTCGAATTCAATTCATTCCATTTTTTGTATAAAAATACAAAACAAAATTAATTGATTATACGTGTCTCAGATATTCTATTCCTATGACATTTCCAAACTCACCTCACTTGTGCCAAGAAACGTTATTAGCAATTCAAGACTGAGCGGATGTCGCTTTTTCATGTGAATTTGGACATCTGAGTGATTGAGGAAGTATTTAAAAATAAAAAGAAAGCACCAAAACAGCACCATTAGATGGCGACTCTAGCTAAAGTTGATTTTTGCAGGAAACGAATGGACCAAAGATAATAATTTCCGTTCCTTTTAACTAACATATTAAAAAACGTATAAATTTGCAAAGTTCGAAACTTAGATATCAACACAAATAGAATATGAGTTGTTTATCGAGTTTTGAAAACGAATTTATTTTTAAACATGAAAGAAAACCGGAAAGATTGTCATGGAGAAATCAAGAAAGTACCGTAGCGACATCTAGTTTTATTTCGGGAACTAATTTTATTTTTTTAAATACTCCTCATTCGAAATGAGGTTTCGATTTTTACATAATCGCGGGGCTCTTTCCAGATGGCCAGTAGATTCGGAACCTATCCGTTGCAAACAAACAAAACTCTTTATAATATTAGTATAGATTACTAGTTGACATGTCGTCTTTCGTTATGATGTTGGATTCACGTAAAAAAAGATGTATCCGCAATTTATTAATAAAAAAAACACGGCTGCCACAATAGAATTTCTTTTTATTTTATTCTAGGTACACAAGTTATTCCGAAATTTACCATATTGTTTTCAGAAAAAATGGCATCAGACCTACTTTTTGTCAATATAGAGCGTTTGGTGAATCTTTGGTGTGCTGTAAAGATGGCAAAACAATTTTACAAACATCAAAACCAAGGACAGCAGAGTAAGTATAAGGAAAGATAGAATATTATTCAGTATTACATAACTATTAATTTATTTTCATAAATCACTAGCTGTTTTCCTTAGTTCGTAAATTATAGCCTATTTCCACCCCGTATGATGTAGCTACCCGTAGGTGAATTTTTTTTCAATATCCTTCCAGTAGTTTCGTTGCAAACAAAACAAACAAACAAAGGTACTCACTTATATTCACTTTAACATACAAAATACACACACACACATATATATACACACCTGGTTCTTGCATGGTTAACCTAATAGAATAATTTGTAAATGTTAAAAGTCTATTAATTTATTTTATCTCTCTTGTGCTTTTGGTATTTAATTTCTTAGTCTGCATAAACCAAAATGTAATTCTTAAGAGAGCACTGACTCCTGACATACAGGGCAACCTAATTTGGGAGACAGGGCAAATTGATTTGTGACGCTATGTAGTTACACAATAAAGTATTATTATTATTAAATAATCAAATATTTACTCTTTATAATATTCACATAGTTTTTTATCGAGTTCTAATTAAATATACATATTTTTATGTTATTGAAAACTACACCATTCCCACATCATTGCTAAGTAGGCTTGCCAGACCGCCAGGAAATCCGGGATTGTCCCGGAATCTTGCCTCTTGTCCCGTGTCCAGTAATTAGCGCTTGTTGTCCCGGATTCTGGAAACTTATTATTTTTTTACAAAATAAACTAGCAACGAATGACACGGCTGCCGGTGAGCGGGTGCGGGAGGCGCGCGGGCGCGGGAGGGGAGTGCGTGCAATAGTTTTACTCCACTCACCCATCCGCCCCGTCTTTCACTGCCTGTATGCTGCTTAGATTAATGAATAAAATACAATATATGGAGCATTCAAAACTGTCACTTTTACACGCACACACGCACGTTTTGCTAACACTGCCAGATTATGTTGACAGCTAACAAAATATGTAGTGAATTTTGAACGTTATCACTTTTTAATTTCCCGAGATGACCGAAAAATCAAGTAAAGATTCTATAGATAAATTAGTAATTTAAGCGAAGTGCTCAATTATGTAGTTTAACGTGTGATTTACTACCACACTGTTTCATCTCAGAATTATAACTGGAGTTAATTATCTACTTAGTACATACCTATATCTAATAAAAATATTTATTTGAAAACAAATGGCATTTTTCCTTTTAAATACAAATACGAAAAAATATATATTTAAGATATTTTCTATTATAACCACGAGCCAACATTTTTTTTGTAAAATTGTCCCGGATTTGATAAGTTACTATCTGGCAACCCTATTGCTAAGTAAGTCATTTTAAATTGCCACACCATAAAACACGCCATCTTGAAATGTGCGGCCATTTTGAATGAGTATCTAGACGCTTACTTTTATCTGAGAATGTTCTGCGGAAAAATACAGAATCGTACAATACGAATTACATATTTTTTATTTTCCTGTAACTTTTTGCCTTGTTTACATATTTTATTTATTTCCCTTTAACTTTTTGCCTTTCTCAAACTTAAGTGAAAATTATGAAATCTGTGATAATGAAGTTGATATAATTCTCTATTTCAGTCCCAGTCCACTTTGGACATACGAAAATGACAATCGTAGAGTCAGTGAAAGAAGTAAGTATACCAAAGTTAAGATTATCTTCATATTTATCTTAATAATTATAACCTATTGTAAAATATAAACTAAAGTATGTATTGTGACGAATGTGACCGTGTTAAAGGGGGCCTTGATGTCAATCCGGGTCTGGAAACGGTACTTTTAAAATTAGAAAATACCGCCAGCGGAAAGGGGTTATAAGTTCGGACTGGTGACAATAGCAAATTGTGCACACCTTACCTTAGTAGATTGTCGAGCAACGCGTGGTATTGAGCCTCAGGACGCCGCCGATTTAGGGTGGGTGTCCCACAGAAGTATCCAGCACTACACTTTTAGATTTGCTATCAGTTCAAACTTTCGTTTGTATATAACGTATATAATAACGAATTGAGTAAGATATTGGTTCGCCCTCGTGATACCATCAGGTCCAACGCAGGAAGTAAAAGTAAAAAATATGAGGTGACTTTACAGCAAACGGGCTACTATTTAACCGAATTACTAATACGGAGTCGTATAAGGCACATCTCCAGGAGCGGATTAAACTTAAAGCAGAGTAGGCAACTGCCTAGGGATACACTACGGGGCCCGGCGTGTTCAAATAAAAGAAGTATAAAAGATATAAAGAGATCAACAGAAAAAAATGGTAAAGATACAAGACAAAAAAATTTGGCATGCATTTAATTCATTTAGACCCCCTTTTAGTCAGTTAGAATAAATAAAGGGGACTCTGGGAATTGTATTGCCTAGCCTTTGGCAGGGTTAATTTAGTCCTGCACAGGTCAAAGAGGAGGGAGTCAACAAAATGTGATATTGTGTGACAAGAGATGGAGAGAGCCTTGCGACGTCACACTTAGGGTCACACTTAAAAATCTTGAAATCATACTTTTCAAAACCTTATTGAAGTCGATATAAAAATGATTTCAAACAGCTATTTAATTTATTAAATTCTTAGTGTAAAATTCTAAATATAAAAGTATGATAATATTTTTAACGAAAAACGCTCAAAAAGCTATCTGTCCCAGGAACCCTGAGATAGGACCTGAACCCACAGCCTTATGCAATCCGGTCGACTGCTCTACGACAACAGAGCTGATGAATTTTTAAAGCACTTGGTACTTTCTCATTAATTAAATATATTAATATTTACCAGTATAACATCGTGGATGTAAAATTGATGAAATACAATATATCGTAGTTGTTTCTGAATCTTCCTAATAGCAGTTCTTGTACTGCATAGCGTCAGCAGGGCTGAATCTAGGGCGGGAGGGACTTGCCCCGAGCGCCAATGTCATAGGAGCGCCAAAAACTACTTTCTACCTTCACAGAATGTCTTATAATAAATTCATAGATATAAGCTACGATGGGCCGAAAAACTTATAAAAGTAAATCAAATAAAAATAATTAAATCATACGTTGCAAAAATATGGTAATAGAGTATTGCGGGGAATGACACAATATCAAGTTTCTGCCCCGAAAAAAAGTTTAAACAAAAGAGTTTATTTGTATTTATTAATAGTATATTGGATTGATGTATTTTATATTGTAGAATGTGACGCGTATAGTAGACAAGTGGTCCAGAAGGTGGACGCGTCCCTACTACTGTTAAACGACGAGGGAGTGTCTGTGGCGGCTACAAGATGCCATTACACTAGCGTCGAGTTGATTGTTGGCGGTGAAGACGCTAATAGAGGTGAATTTCCACATATGGTGAGTCTTTAGCGTACCTTTTTTTGTTGATGTCAAGGAAATGGACCGGGCTTTTCATCGCTCACCAAGATAGCAAACTATAATCACCAAGAGTGGTGATTATAGCAAACTCGACTCATAGAAATGCAGGCCCCGATCCAGGGGGGGGGCGCAAATGCGGGCACGTGCCCAAGCGCCAGTCTAAGGGGGACGCCAAAATCATAATAATATACTACATAAGTATACTACAAAAAAAGAAATTCATTATCCCTAAATTTTATAAAAAAATATGGGCGTCGACGGATCAAGTTTCTGCCCTAGTTAAAAATATTAGATTGTATAAGAAGGGTATTATCACTATAAATTTATTTACCTAGGTTTTTCTCCTATCTTTATTTTCCGACGTTTCGACCAGGTTACACCGGCCATGGTCACGGACCTATCGCGTTAATACCCGTCTTATACAATCTAATATAATGCAACGCGTAAGTTTAAAAGTTTATCTAGTTAGAAATAGTTCTACATCCGGGTCTGTAGAAATGATCTAATGATCTAAGTGCGCACGGAAGTTCACGGCAAAAATCGGCTACGTCAGCCACTTTCGGTCACACGAGTGCCGTACCGACTAGGAGTCGAAGTAGTCGCCATGACCGAAATCGGTCAGAGGGATTATTATTAGAGTGTTAAAAAATATTAAACACGTATTTTTTAATTTTTCCTAATCATAAAATTACGGCGTTACATTGAGTTGAAATTTCGCATGACGTCACGTTATGGTACGTTTTCTACTCAACTGTGACGTAGCGTTTCCACTCCTCAACTTTAATGCCTGTTATCTAAGCTATTTCTTGTTAACAAATACACGTGATATATTACTACCCTCTTTTTTTATATTTCATGATTATTCGACGATCCCGGTTTTGTATGAATGCGTGAATCAGGCCGCGATAGGCTGGGCGAATTTCGAGGGCGGCTACGACTTCAACTGCGGCGGCGCCCTCATCAGCACCAAGTACGTGCTGACGGCGGGGCACTGCAGCAGCGACCCGCGCGCGTACGCGCCCGCGCCCGTCGTGGCGCGCCTCGGGGACCAGAACATCGACCCCGCGGTCAACGACGGAGCCGACCCTGTTGATGTGAGTCGAACTCAAACAAAAAATTTTAATGTTTCTCTTTATGTACCTTGACACACTGCGATAATAGTTAAATTAAACTTTAATTAGGTATCCTCGACCAAAAAATGTCTAATTTACTACTTTCATGTGCTGAAAAAACGGTCAATATTTTTCTTTATGTACCTTGACATGCACCCTCCGACCCTGTTGACGTGAGTTGAACTCGAACAAAAAATGTTAATGTTTTTTTTATGTACCTTGACATGAACCCTGATGAGACCACTGCGAAAATAGTTAAATTAAACTTTAATAATCCACAAACAAAAAATTACTGCTTTCATGTGTTGAAAAAATGACAATATTGTTTTTCTGTACCTTGACATGAACCTTGAGAAGGGCACTGCAGCAATAGTTAAATTAAACTATAATTATCATAAAATCAGAGTAAATAAGATTTAAAAGTATCATGCATAAGGGTAAATTAATAACAATATTACAAATTAGATAAAAATGTCATAAACTCAAATTGGCCATAGAATGAGGAAGTATTAAAAAAAAAACATTTGTTCCCGAAATCAAACTAGATGTCGCTACGGTACGTTCTTGATTACTCCATGACAACCCTTCCGGTTTTCTTTCGTGTATAAAAGAAAATAAATTTTCAAAACTCAATAAGCAACTCATATTGTATTTGTACTTTTACGTATTTGTATTGATATCTAAGTTTCGAACTTTGCAAATTTCAGTTACTTTATATTTTAGTTAAACGGAATGACTACCTTTGGTCCATTCGATTTCTGCAAAAATCAACTTTTGTTAGAGTCGCCATCTAGTGGAGGTACTTTTTTAGTGCTTTCGTTTTTTTTTTAATACTTCCTTATTACATTTGATAGAAAAAGTTTTGTGCATCCAAATTGTCATTACTTTTAAAATTTTGTCAACTAAGCACTCTATAGAATAGGAATGTCACCGGCAGGCGTATTCTGCTAATCTCTCAGAGATTTTTTTTTTGGTATCTTCACGGAATAGGCTAAGTGACGCCTGAACCAGAACAATAATAATAATATAACTCAATATTTTAAGCATCACACAAATACAATACATGGATATTAACAATACAATTCAATTTAATACCTGACGAACATCATCAACTTCATCAGCCCCATTACGCCCCTGGCTCAGGCCTTCCGTATATCCATAAGGAAGGCCTGAACCCGGGGCATTAAGGAGGATAGACCATGACCTTCCACGCGGACTCAATGCAAATTGGAGGGTTTTAACGCCTGCGAATGCAGCCGGGACCAACGGCATAACGTGCCTTTCGAAGCACGCAGTGAGAAATAATAATTTTTTGGTCGCCCATCCCGTGACCGACCCTTGCGGAATTTGCTTAGCAACTACGATCGCGGCGCTTATCCACTACACCACCGAGCGCCTGACGAACGGCCAATAAAAAGCAGTCAGTGTTCAACCTATGTCCTACAGACTATGAAAGTTGTATTTATTATTGTGATAATACATATTATTTTGGTAATGGCATGATTTATGTAAATGTCATTACTTATGATAAAAAGCTGGTAAGTTTCTTTCGCTTGTTCTTCTTGTCAGCTAAAAGACGTTCTGAACAAGTGGTAGGGGAAAAACATTTTTTTGGACGATTCAAAAGTGCTCGTAACAAGCTTACTCGAATAAAGATATTTTCATTTCATTTCACATCAGGATCAGGCATTGTTGTGCAGTCCATTGATATAACTGTGAAGCTATGATATCACATCCAGTGCAATATGTGACATTTGCTAGATATCATAATTTAACAGTTATTCTGTAAAGATACCTCATCATCAACCTTGCTTGTTTATGAAGTGGAGTGGACCATAAGCCACCACACGCGGGCCCAAATCTAATGAGGAAGCATTTAAAAATAAACAATAGCACTGCCACTAGATGGCGACTCTAGCAAAAGTTGATTTTTGCAGGAAGCGAATGGACAGTCAGTTCCGTTCCTTTTAACTAACATATTAATAAACTGAAATTTGAAAAGTTCGTAACTTAGATATCAATACAAATACGAAAAAGTACAAATAGAATATGAGTTGTTTATCGAGTTTTTAGTAGTTTTTATAATTTAAATTACACAGATATCGAATAAGGTATTAACTAATGTTGACTATCTTTTAGGTTCCCATAAGGCATATACATAATCATCCAGAATACAAGCCACCAGTTAAATATAATGACATAGCGTTATTAGAATTAGCATCAGACGTAGAATTCGAGGACGCTATTAGACCTGCCTGCCTGTGGACGCAGCCTGACTTCGGAAATAACCATAATGGCATCGCTACAGGATGGGGTGTCAATAACACGTGTGAGTCTTCCTAGACATTTTTCCTCCTGATAGAAAAAAACTGTCCAAATACTAGCCAAAACCGCGCACAAGAGATTCCATACCATTATCTATAAAAAACGTCATAAATACGTTATTTTTGAATGGGAGCCCCTTTAATATATATTTCAGTTTGTTTTTTAATATTTGTCGTCAAACTAGTAACGGAAACATATAATCTGTCAAATTTCAACTGTCTGTCACAGTCGAACTAAAATGGCGGATTAGTTATCACTGTTTTAATATAGGTGTCAAATGAAATGGTTCGCTAAAATATGATTTTTACACGGCTGGCCGTAATGTAGGTATGTGAGTTTTTTCATTCCACCATCACTTTTGAAAGACTTATCGGATATCAATGTGTTGGGTATCATTAGAAACGTTACTGCATCCCAAGTGATACTGAGTATATAATTGTAAAAAATAATAAATTAGGCAGAAGTAATATGTCATTTAAAAAAAACTGATAACCATGTTTTTTTCTTTAATCGGTGTTGATGATTATATGCAAACAAATATATAGGGATAAAATAAATATAAAAAATTTATAAACACGACTATACATAGTATAAAAAAGTCGCTTTCTCTGTCCCTATATGGATAACTATGTATGCTTAAATCTTTAAAACTACACAACGGATTTTGATGCCTTTTTTTTTCATAGATAGGATGATTCAAAATGAAGGTTTTAATGTATAATATAATACAAGATTTCGATAGTCGTGTTTTTAATTTTTAAATCATATTTTTTTTTATAAAAAACTTGATTAAGTATAATATTTATATATTAATGTTACAGTGACAAAGACGACATCTAAGGAGCTCCAAAAAGTTTCTCTCTCGTTATTAGACAACGAATTTTGTGAACCGCTTCTAGAACATACTAAGAACAGAAATTGGAAAGGCTTCGTTCGGGAGCAGATGTGCGCGGGGGAGCTTCGTGGGGGGAAGGACACCTGCCAGGTTCATATCTTTACATATTAGAAATTAACAAAAAAACTTGCCGTAGCCCGGTCACCGAACAGAGAGAATGAGAAAGTATTAAAAAAAGATTAGTTCTCGAAATCAAACTAGATGCTACGGTACTTTCTTGATTTCTCCATGACAACTCTTCCGGTTTTCTTTCATATATAAAAGTAAATTAATTTTCAAAACTCAATAACCAACTCATATTCTAGTTGTACTTTTTCGTATTTTTATTGATATCTAAGTTTCGAACTTTCCAGTTTTTTAATGTTAGTAAAAATGGAACAGAAATGTCTGTCTTTGGTCCATTCGTTTCCTGCAAAAATCAACTTTTGCTAGAGTCGCCATCTAGTGGAGTTGCTTTTGTAGTGCTTTCTTTTTTTCTTAAAATACTTCCTCATTACCGACAAAAATTAAAGTGCTTGAAAAATTCGTCAGTTCTGTCAAATCCTGGGTAGCTCAGTGGTTAGAGAAGTCGCCCGGTTTGCGAAAGGTCGTGGGTTCGAGTCCCATCTCAGAGTGCCGGGGACACGGTGGATTTTTTAAAAATTTTTCGTTAAGAATCCTTATTAATAATCTTGGACTTTTTAATTCTTGTACTTGTCAGATGTAAAAGCAACGCTTATTATCTCATGCTCCTCTGTGCTTCGGAATACACGTTGAGCCTTTGATCCCGGCTCCATAGGAAAGGTCTGAACTGAGGCCTGCAATGAGGGCATTAATAGGGTGGAAAAAAAGATAAGTAGCTCGGTGGCGTAATGGATAAGCACCGCGGCCCGCGATCATTGTCGTTAAGCGACTTTCGCAAGGGTCGGTCACGGGATGGGTGACCAAAATATTATTATCTCCAACTACTCCGTGCTTCGGAAGGCACTTTAAGCCGTTGGTGCCGGCTGCAATTGCAGTCGTTAATACCCGCCAATCCGCATTGGGCCAGCGTGGAGGGCCATGGCCCACCCTCCTTAACCATCCATAAGGAAGGCCTGAGCCCCTGCAGTGGGGACGTAAAAGGGCTGGTGATGATGATGATGACGAAGGTAACTTGAGCTATATTGTATTCTTTTATACAGGGTGATTCCGGTTCCCCAATTCAAGTTACATCCAAAGACAACCATTGTTTATTCTACATCATCGGTGTTACATCTTTCGGGAAGAAATGCGGAGAGGGTGGTCTACCAGCTATATACACGAGGGTGTCCAGTTACATAGATTGGATAGAATCTATTGTATGGCCTGGGGAATGAATAAAGCCGTGGCCTAATGTCAAATTTTAAAACCTACACACTCACTTTGAATTTGACATTTGAAAGATATTCACGAACTTCACGCTACAACTACTTGACATGTGATAGCGATTGCAAACGCGACGCTTTGTTGAAAGATATTGAATGAATGATAACGTTTATTTGATGTTAATTGGAACTGTCTAAAGTGATAGTTACGAATATCTTTGATTGGGAAAAGTCAAACAAAATTAATTGTCTATGACACGTATGTTATTCAAATCATCGTTCGTTACAAAAGCTATTGTGACTTTAAAAATTACACAATTCCATGAATCATCATCGATGAGGCTTTAAAAATGAAGTATCAGAATTAAAAAAAAATCTTTCATCGCTGATGCTGCTTTCCGATGAAACTAGACGACTCGCTTTCATCGGCATCGACTTTAATAGTTAACTCGTCGTTAAGGTCAAAAATATTATGTATTAGATCAAAAGATATTCAATGAGGTAGTATTAAAAAAAACGAAAGCACTAAAAAAGCACCTCCACTAGATGGCGACTCAAGCAAAAGTTGATTTTTCCAGGAAACGAATGGACTAAAGACAGTCGTTTCCGTTCCTTTTAACATATTAAAAAAAAGAAATTTGAATAGTTCGAAACTTAGATATCAATACAAATACGAAAAAGTACAAATAGAATATGAGTTGTTTATTGAGTTTTGAAAATTAATTTACTTTTATACATGAAAGAAAATCGGAAGTGGTCATGGAGAAATCAAGAACGCACCGTAGCGACATCTAGTTAGATTTCGGGAACTATTTTTTTTTAAATACTTTCTCATCATCATCAAATCTGATAACTTATTTCTATTATCCTAAGACATATTTTCATTAGTTGATAGGGTGTAATTTGTATAACGCGTACTCTAGCTCACTGCGTTCTAATTTCGTTGTCTTAAATAACAAAAGATGTTATATTTAAAAAAAAAATATGCTTTAAACTATATTTTAAGTTATATTAAAAAATATACGTAATATTAAGGTTTGTAATTATTATATTGAATTAATTTAACATCCACAATGCTATACTGGTAAATATTGTTAATGGAAAATGCTTAAATAAATTCACCAGCCTCGTATCTCAGACATCAAACTTTCGATTAAGAAGATACTCCTATAATAATAATAATTTAGAACGAATTTTCTTCTTAATCGAAAGTTTGAAATATTTGTAAAAAAAATCTTTCGGCTGTTTGGGTGGATTGCCTGAACATTGATGAGAATACGCTCACTAGAAGCGAAAAGTAACAAGCGCTTATAAAATTCGTCAGTCCTGTTCAAGTCCTGTTAGAAGTATTCACAAAGTACTTTATTATATAGGGAAAGAAGTATTCCAGACGGCGAAAGGTTCGGATTCCATTGGATTGTCAGGGACTGATGGATTTCTTAAGCATTTCCCATTAAGAATATTTCGTTATTACTTTTCTAACTTTTTAATGACCGGACACACGGCACGTCAGACTATTCAAATCTGTCAAATTTTTAAATGGATTTCAAACCTTAATGCTTGAAGGGTAACCGTTTAAATTAAATTAAGAAAATTAACATATTGTTGAAGAATGTACAAGTCCCGTAAATTGCTAATGCGCTGAACTAATAACACCCACGTGGCGTCATATGAAAATAGAAAGTACAGATAGCACAAAAGGCAAGAGATTAATTATTTATGAATTATTAAAATATTTATTAATAATCCCCAAAATGTTGTTATAATAATTTAATAACTTTTAGTTTGTTAATTTATTGCATTTTTTTTGGAAAATAATCAATTTATATGTGTTGGTTTCAATTTATATTTCATTAAATTTCAATTTATTTTATTCATATACACAAAATGAAGTGCTCGATTCGCGCTACAGTTGTTAAGCAACTTTCGCAAGGGCCGATCATAGAATGGGTGCCCAAAAGGAGACAATTTTTTTCTAAGGACGATAGGCCCATTACAAATCCTGGCGTTAACTATTAAAATGAACTGTTTGTTCGTTATAATCAATATATTATATTGGTAATATTCAATTTTTATTATTTAACCGCAACACTGAGTTTTTTACAACAAACATTTTTTTTATAGCAAACGATAAGATTCCTTTACGATAACATTGCTAAAAGTAAAACGACAGGCGTTTTGAAGGTTCACCTACATTTTTTATGTTATTCTGGGTTTCCGGTTAGAACAAAGTGTAGTTTTCTACACTAAGTTTATGCTTTCTTTTGATAAAATTGCTATGAGGAAACACTCCCAGAATCAAGTAGCGCCTTAAAAATTATCTCTTTTATAAATTGAACTCCATGCTTGGGAAGGCACAATCCGCACTGGACCAGCGTGGTAAGTCATGGGCTATTCTAGAGAGAAAACCATAGATGTAGGGAAGGCCTGACTCACATCAGCGAGGACGTTAATAAGACGGTAATGGGTTAACTAAAAAATAACAGATATTTGATCAGTTTAAGAGTTGTATAATTCAAGATTAAACAACTAAAGTATAATCTATAACAATGTGCTTATTTAATAAAGGTTTCATATAAAAATAAATATGTGGGTACAAATTTGGTAGGAACATAGTCAAAATTATATACATAACAGTAGGTACAGGTACAGTGTGTCCAAATGGGTACAACCATAGACCCCTTCTATTAGCATCTCTTAAATGATGTGTAGTGTAAGCTATGAATATCATCCATGTTGCAACATGGATATTATTTTTATTATAAATATAACTATAGATGTATAAAATTGCAGTTATAATCAGCCAGGTAGTGGTACAGTGTAGAATACCCCTCTGTTTCAATCCAAATAGATCCTGAAATTAATAATCTTCTAGTTTTATAATAGTATGATAAAACTACAAGCTTTCTGTGGCTTCACGGTCCATATTCAACCCCCTTTTTTCATCCTCTTAGGGGTTGATTTTCTAAAGACTCTTCCCTTGTGCTCACTTATATAGATATTTGGAATAATATAAAGTAAAAGAACTAGGGTACATGAGAGGCTTTACTGGCATCTATGATTTTTTATTCTCAAATATTTCAGAACAAATGTATTCTAAGTCATGTATTGATTCTTCATCTTATTTTTGAATACTTGTTTGTTCTTATTAACTGCAATATTCAAAAAGGAGTGATTTTTTGAAAAAAAATGCAAACTTTAGGGTTTAGACCAAACAAGTAACAAAGAGAGTACAAATGTTAATGAAAACTTACAAAACATTTCTGAAATATTTAAATACACAAAATTTCATAGATGATATCAAATTGAAATTTGAGTTATATTTAGGGCCAGAAAAACTCACTTCGGAATCTCATCCTTTGATGATTGCAAATAAATATGTATATACTAAACTATGTATATATAATGTTGTTTAAACAAATTAACCATTACCACTTTATATCACTTAAAACTACACAGCTAACACACCATTACACATTAGTTATTTCCTTTAATTTAAAATAATAAAAAAAAAAATTAAAACTTTGAGAATCAAAGTTCCCACTGCTGAGGCATAGGCATTCTCTATGAACAGCCCATAATATGAGCCCAGTGTAGATTGATGGGTGAAAACTTTCCGCTAGCAGCTACACCTGCAGTTTTCCTATCATCCAACATTTTACATTGCTGCTCAACTCCTATTAGTCATAGCGTGATGTTTTGTGCACAGAGCTTTCCTCAACAAACGTTGAATAGTCAACACAAAAAGACTTTTGCAATTCAAACCAGTGGTTTCTGTAGTTTCTGAACTTAGCTTGTTTAACCAAACCCTTCAGCTTTATAATATTAGTAGGTACTTATACATATTACTCAGTAATATGAAAACAATTCAAGTAGATTTCTTAGTTTATTTTTCATAGATAAACTTTCAAATCTCTTTACTTACCTTTAAATGCAGTGATCTGGCAACAAGAAAGTGATCGACATCTATGAATGACGATAGCATAGTACAAAATGCAATATTCAAATGACAGGCTTGCCTTGTTAAATTTGTTTCATGATTGAAGAATATCATAGCTGATAAACAACCAATGATTGCATGAACCAAATTGTCAGTTACAGCTCGAATAACTTGTGAATTCGTGAAATTAGATCTAAACACTAAGAAATCACCAAATACAGCCGTAAAACATAGGCCAACTGTAAGGGAAATATTAAAATATCTCATGATTAGAACTTTTGTTTACATTTTAAATTAATTCCTATTTGTTAAGACGGTATTTATCTTCATTGTATTTATATGAAGTAAAAGCGTAGCTGTAATTTGATTAATAGAATCGATTATTACGAATCATTTAATTGAAAACAACATATTTATTATTATTTTACCATTTTTATTTCATGTTTACTTTGGTGACATTACAAAACAATTTGACAATTTTGTTTGACATTGACGTGACCAGGGGCGGGACAGTCTCATACAAGCCTCGATGTTACAAAGATAGTAGTGACATCTTTATTATTTCCCGAAATTTAATATGTCACAAAATGACACTAGATGGCGCTAGGTAAGCTTTTAAATAGGAAAGGTGGTAAACACTATAAAAAATATGGCGGGCGCCGTTTCAAGTTGTGATTTATCCTTGTGCTTGCGCATAGTTTCTTTATCTACATCTAGTGCAAAACCTCGAGTTAAGTGTGTTGAGTTGAGATTTATTCTCCTCTACCTTGCTACAGTGTATTTGTGCTGTGTGTTCTGAACTTTTTGCGACTGGACGCTTGTTTTTAGTTTGTAAAGTTTAAGTGTAGTTTTTGCGATTGGACGCTTGTTTTTAGTTTGTAAAGTTTTCGTGATTACTTTCTCGATTATGCCACGACTTTGCTCATTTGGATGTGCACCTAGCATAGAATTAATAAGTACTACGTATAACTAGAATGCTTACTGTGCGTCTAAACATGCGCCGAGTGAGAGGTCATAAATCTTGGTTTGTCCCTTTCTAAGTAGTGTAACCATTCTTACCTGAATACATTGGACATTAAAAGAAAATATTGATTATTGAAATTGAATAATATTAATATGAAGCAGAAAAAATTCTTATTTAATCTCAACTCAACAATAATAAATTTTGAAACTATGGAAATCAGCAATTTCATAGGCAGACCTCCCCCCCCCCCCACTGGGGGAAGACCTAATAATAAAACGCAATCAAAATACTATATTTTATTATGACTGTATTGTTTACATTTTAAAATTAAACATTACTTAACAAAATTGTTTTGTGCAATTTATGGCGTAAAGTAGCGCGAGATGTGCCAATGGCCTTGAATGTGAGACCTTTGCCATAAGTTGACATTCTTATTATGAGAATCTCATGCCTTTGTTGGATTTATTTTTGTTCAATTGCTGATGAATATTTGGGAAACAGTTTGTTATGACAGATTGTACCTTTTCATAATTTTTACAATTTTCTTTTAAAACTGCTAAAAGTGACTTTAAATTATTAATCTTCATCTTCATGTCTCTTCTTTTGATTTTTGCCTAGTATTAATATAAATGAGTGCTTTAATATTAGGTAGGTACCTTTGGCAAGATTGAAGGAATCACTTCTGATTTCAGCCTTTTTCGAGCCTCTGTTCGGTAATCTTTGGTTTTGAAATGAAGTGTACAAACCACACAGCTTTCATGTAAGTTCCCAGGTATCAACCATTTTTTCTTTAACTCTAAATCCGATGGCAAACTGGAAATTTAAATTAAAATGTATATTTTTTATTATAGTAATAATTTGGTTTGGTTTGGTGTGTAAATAGATATTTGCAAAAGATCGATCAAACGATAAGCCTACTGACCAATAAAATTATTCAAGGATACCCATTTATGAGCCTCCACATGCTTGCTTAATGTAGGTAGACTTGCAAATAGTGAATAACCAAAGTGTTAAGTGATACAACAAGTTTAAATTTAGTACTTAATTAGGCAATAATAGGGTATATGCTTATAGTACGTACGTACTTTACATCTCTATACGTAAAGTATAGTCACCCTAGTTGCTACTGATGACATACTTACCTGTGAAAAGATAGTCCACAGCCAGGTACGATTCTTTCCCAAACCCACTCACAACACATATATTGTTTACCATTTTTCAATCCAATATACTATTTAAAGCACTTTTTTAATTCAGAGAGCATTAAAAACAAGTCTATATGACAAAAAAGAAAACGCCATGTTGCTTTTGTGGTGCCACATGAATACTTCAATTTACCTAGTGTTGCATAACGTAAAGGTAATAAAACAAGCCTACAATATTGAAATGTCGTGAAATATAAAAACTTTGATTTATCTGGACCTAAAAGCTATTGCATTTATATTATTAGTAAACTTATAAACAAGTCAAATATAATATTCATATAGAAAACGTTTTGTTCTGTGTTAACAGTTTTCACGAATTTACCACCTTTATATCAACAATATTTAATAGCAGGACCGATCGCTTTGGAAATCTTTGGGGGAGGCCTATGCCCAGCAGTGGGCGTCTCTCGGCTGAAGTGATGATGATGATGATGATATCAACAATATTTCACATGGCAATTGTGCGACAGAGACACACCAAGAAAAAAGATGTCTCACTTGAGCTCATTTCTCTATGTAGATAATGCTTATTTAAAAAACACTTTATTCTCATATCATTAAGGTTCATTTTGATATGTAAAAAAGATCGTAGTTAGCATTCCAGTTCTACGTAGTACTTATTAATTCTATGGCACCTAGTGGTAAGTTTGTTAATGTTCTATTGCAAAATACTTTTTACCTAGAAAATGAAGTATTCGAAAACGCCCGGTCAGTGAATGGTCGTGAATACTTTTTATTAGAAAATGAAGTATTCGAAAACGCTCGGTCTATGAATGGTCGTGAGTTCGAGTCCAATTGGAGCTAGTTGTGCGATTGGTCGTTTTTCTCTAGTTCTTCATTTTACAATATGATTCCTATTGATTCTACATATTCTTATAATTATAATTATGCAGTATACTGCATGTACAAAATAAACAATCCATACTTATTTATCCATCTCATTACTATTTAAAAAAATAATTGTAAATTATATGTAAAAATACATATAACAACAACTGTAAGCCACCAAATAGAAAATAAACTATACTAAATACAAAATGTTTAAAAAATCCACTTGGTCCCGTTGGTTGCAGAAGGTTGTGGGTTCGATTCCCATCTCAGGGTGCCAGGGACCAAGTGGATTTTTTTTAAGCATTTTTTATTAAGAATAATTTTCAGTATGGCATTGTGAATACAAAATTAATCAAAAGGAAATGAACTATTAAATAAAACCAACCTGTCTCATAACTAGCTCCGATTGGAAGTTGTGAGACAGTTCGTTTTTAGTTTTTAAGTAACTTCAATAATAAAAATGGCATTGTGAATGCATAAATGTTAAAAGTAACATCAAATAATTGCCATTTCAATTGTATGTGAAATTTAGCCATTTTAAAAGAAAAATCTAATGTAAGTATTATTTATTTATCTTGACCATAACAATTAAGTGCATGACAGCATCAGACAGCACAGCAAAACAAAAACATTTGACGACTAACTGAAAGTTGTTTAATAATAACTGCACGACTATACGTCCCTTGGGGAAAGGTGCCCCACCCACATTCTTGTCATAACCCTGATTGTTTTGGTTGGGCAGCAATATGTCTATTTAATGACATGTAATTTTTCTTTTTCAGACACTACTATGCACAGTTTCCCAGACCCAAAAAAAAATCCTGAGCGGTTTGCAGTTTGGGTTAAATTGGTTGGTGGAAAACTGGAAACAAATACAGACTATGAATATTTCAAAAATAAAAAAGTCTGTAATATTCATTTCACAGATAATGACAGAAATCGCTTTAGAAGATTAAATATATTAGCTGTTCCATCACTGCATTTACCTGGTATCTATGAGATTTTTTTTAACATACCTTTATGAAGATTCATCATTCCGTATATAGAATTTAGATGAAATCATCTAAAATCTGAGAACATTTTGATTGCTCATTCATCACTCAAACATATGCCCTTGCAGGGCTTTGAACCCAGTACCTTTTAGTGCTATGGCAGGATTGCTACTACACTAACCAGCTATCAAAATATTTTTTACTTTGAGACCACTCTCATAAACATTTATAAAGATGAGTATACCTAGTAAGCTTGACCTGCTTTTGACTACAACAACTTTTTTTAATCCACAACAAGGGAGCACATAAAACAAGTCCTATCGCCAACCAAACCGAATACTAATTATACCCCCACTGGGATTCAAACCCAGGACTTCTGAGTCTGTGGTGTCATTGGTGATGTGAACTACTAGACCACAAAGGCAGTCAAACCCAATATCTATAACTTTTAAGATAATGTTGATTTGTTTTTAATTTGCAGGATCGAGACAAGATTCTATAGAAGTTTCTATTTCCCCAAATCAAGAGAACATAGACCCACAAACATCAAGGATTTCAGGTAAATTATTCAGCCTAGCCTATAATAAAATGTCCAACTTAAGAGTTACTTCCAGAACTGTAAATTTAACAAACTGATTATAATTATAACAATATTGTTTGCTCTCTTGTAACCTTTTCATTCATTGTGTTTCTCTTAATTACAGATTCAGTCCAGGTGGATATAGGACAAAAGCTTATACCGAATCCTACTAACCAAACTGTTTGCAATTATCCAACTTCAGAAATGTCTTGTGCAGGTATTTGAAGATCATTATTATCTATCTCTATGATTCATAGTATTGAAGATCTCTGTTTGAGATACTTACATGTAAATAAATTATATTAGCAATTTCATACTTAAAAAAGTAAGTGCTCAATCAGTTCATGTATTTTTTAAAAATCAAACATTAGTTAGATAACCACCAACTTATTATTGTTTATTTATACCTTATACCTATTATTGTTAATTTGTAACTAGCGATTCGACCTCACTTCGCTTCGCTTCGTGGTATTTTACACCATGTATTATACATATAAAACTTCCTCTCGAATCAATCTATCATCCGTTGCGTAACTTTAAAGATTAAAGCATACATAGGGACAGACAGCAGAAAGGAACTTTGTTTTATACCAGGGGTGGGCAAACGGTCGATCGCGATCGACCGGTCGATCGCAAGGGAATCTATGGTCGATCGCATTCCTAAAAATGTACTGACGTGTTGGGCTAATTCCAATAACAGTGGTCTTTTCACCAGTCAAAATACCAGTATCTAAAGTGCGTTCATAAAAAACATTTTATTTTACACGCGCGTAACTTTAAGAAGAAAATACTTGTCAACAAACAACCTTTCACTGCGAAAATGTCGATATGAAATAAGAAGGCACCAGATTTATTTGCGGCTGTACTGTGCACGTGTGCCGGTGTCGGCTCGTTAAACGGCGCGGCGGCGTCCTTTGACCTGTGCGGGCGGCGAATTAGCTTTATGCTTGCCGCCCGATTTACTTTGCTTTGACAATTGCCGACGGCCGGCACGTGTTCGCCAGTCTCGCACAGATTTTGGTTTCGGTGAGACGTCATGTCGTGATTCTGGATTCTGTACTTGTTTATGTTTCCCAATAACTTTCGTGATCGTGTGACTTCGTGCTGCTCATGAATATATTTTGTACTGAGGGTAACTAAAGGAGAGAGTGAAGTTGGTAACTATTATTTAAAATGAGTGCGCCAAAAAAAAGTAAAACTTATCATTTCAACGATGAATGGGAAGAAGAATTCTTATTTACCATGGTGAAAGACAAGTGTATTTGTCTTGTTTGTCGAGCTTCAGTAGCTTTGCCTAAACGCGGCAACTTAGAAAGGCATCATAAATCCTTGCATAAAATTTACGAAAGTGATTTTCCTCTCAAAAGTGAAATAAGACGTCAGAAAGTTCAAGATCTGAAAGGTAGCTTGAAGGCCGAGCAAGCTATGTTTACCAGGCCAAGTAAACAATCGGAAGCTGCGACAGTTGCGTCCTTCAAAGTATCTCATATATTGGCAAAACACAAAAAACCCTTTGAAGATGGCGAGGTATTGAAAAAAGCATTTCTCGAAGGCGCAAATTCATTATTTGGCGACTTTAAAAATAAAACTGAAATCATGTCTGCCATAAAAGAGCTCCAGTTGTCTCGTCGGACTGTAACTAGACGTGTTGAGCTCATGAACAGTGATATCGAGCAAAAGCTAAAAAGTGATATTATGAGATGTTCATTCTTTTCTTTACAATTTGATGAATCCACTGATATGATTGACACTGCCCAGCTATGTGTGTTTATTCGGATGGCATTTCCAGATACGTCGTCTAAAGAAGAGTTCTTAACAATCATACCTTTGAAAGAAACCACTCGCGGTTCAGACATATACGATGCTTTTCTAAGTTTTGCGAAAAACTACGAGCTGCCTCTGTATAAACTAGTGTGCATAACAACAGATGGAGCACCATCAATGACTGGAAAGACTAATGGATTTGTGGCACTGTGCAGAGCTAATGAAGACTTCCCATCTTTTTTTTCTTTTCATTGCGTCATTCATCAGCAGGTGTTGTGTTCGAAAGTACTGAACATGGCAGATGTGATGAGCATCACTATGAAGATCGTAAATTCTATACGAGCCAGAAGCTTGCAACGACGCCTCTTCAAAGTGCAATTGGAGGCCAGCGAATCTGAGCACACAGATTTATTGCTCCATACAGACGTAAGGTGGCTGAGCCGGGGAAAGTTCTTAGAACGGTTTCAAGAATTACTACCTGAAATCATTTCTTTTCTGGATCAAAGGGGTGATGACACGGAGATTCTTAAAAGTGAAAGTTGGCTGTGTGATTTGGCTTTCCTTACTGATGTGACTGGTCATTTGAATTCTATAAACCTGGAGCTACAAGGGAAAGATAAAACTATTATGGACATGATTAGCACAATTAACTCATTTAAAAGTAAATTGCAGCTTCTGATCAACCAACTGAAAAAAAAGGACTTGAAAAATTTTGCGTGTTTGAAAGCAAAAACAAGCGCCGTAATAAATTATAATAAATACGAAACAGAACTTGGAAATATTCTCAGCGAGTTTGAAAGACGTTTTTCTAACTTACAAAAATTGACGAACGTTGTTACTTTCATGATTTATCCTTTTTCTTGTGTGGATGTTGAAATTACTGCTTCTGAAATATCGAACACTTTTGACATGGATTTGTCTTCTCTCGAAAACGAGATGATACAGATCATTTCAGATGTTCACCTAAAAGCCAAAGCAACAGATATCAGTTTTTGGTCTCTTTTGACCCAAGAAAAATACCCAAGTCTCCAACAAATCGCACAGCAATTAACTGCTTTGTTTGGGTCGACGTATTTGTGCGAATCTGCGTTTTCTGAAATGAAAATAATTAAATCCAAATACCGCAATCGACTTACCGACGAACATTTGTCTTCCTGTTTACGTTTGGCACTTACTAAATACGTGCCTTCCTATGAGAAATTAGCAGAAAATACGCAGTGCCATGCATCGACCTCTAAGTAAATCAGTCCAGAGAGGCCCGAAAACTGATAAAAACACTCTTAGTTCATGTGATTGGCTTCATACTTATTTTTAGTAGTTATTAGTTATTAACTTGTATAATAAGAAACTGTACTTCTTTAATTGTAAATAAAAGTATATTTAAATAGTGATATGTGCGCAATACCTACAATAAACGATTTAACATAAAAAAATATTGTCTTATTGCAAGTCGATCGCTTGTCGTCTCAATTTATTGATATAGATCGCCATTAGTGAAAGTCTGCCCACCCCTGTTTTATACTATACATAGTGAAATTTTGCAATCGTAAGTCTTACTTGAAATGTCATTAAGTTTTCAAAATATTTCAGATCCAACACAATATGCTTCGTCTGCAGCAGACATCCTAATGGAACATAATTATAGTTCCTGTAGAAGTTCTAAAAAAATATCTGTACCAGGTAATGTACATCAAATTCTATGGCCCTTATAAAACTAAAACAACCATAACTAAAAAAGTGCCTATGTAGCAATATGAGAAATATTTTAAAGAATAGATCTGCTCAAGTAGAATTTTTAATTACGGTTGTATTAGTTGGAGAAATGAGACGTTCAGTAGCACTAATATAGAAAAAGAAATAAGTAAGAAAATATGTTTATTTCTATCATCTCATAGAACAAAGACTGAAAGAGGACATTTATGAAATCCTACTTCTACTAATATTATAAAAGCGAAAGTTAGTGAGTATGGATATTTGTCACTCTTTCACGAAAAACTACTGAATGGATCTGGATGAAATTTGCAATAGAGATAGATTATAAGCTGGAATAACACATGGGGTACTTATATCCCGATGTTCCTATGGAAACCAAGTAGGTGAAACCACGGGCGCTCGCTAGTGTTGTAATAATGCTAGTAGATAATTCTTTGAAGACATAAAATCACTTATATAGACTCGTGTCATTATACCTATAAATGAGGCGGAATCTGTTTGTCTGTTAAATTTAATGCCTAATAGCCGAACCCGGCTGATGCCAGTCGACTTTTTTTTAGCAAATAAATACCTTTCTTACTCTATTCAATACCATGCATAAAAAGAAACAGAAAGAGATTTATTTGACGATCAAAATTAATTGGCGTCTCTGAGTGCGGCAGTTAAACATCGAGAGTTTTAATTAAATGATACTTGCAGCACCTAAATCCAAAAGAAAGATTTTAATGTGGACTCTCAATAAATTGTCTCATCCTATCAAATAAATACTAGTATTTAGTATATAATACAACTAAAAATATTAATTATAACATTTTTTATTTTACAGTTGCTGCCCACAGGTAGCGGATGTGTGAAGCCTGACCAAAAGCACGTCGTCAATCAATTACGGTCAGAGATATGCAGATTGCGTAAAAAAAACAAAACATCTAAAGGGCGCCTAGCTGCTGCTGAAAAATGTAGCGCAGACTTAAAATTTCAGCAAGTTGCTAAAAACATGACAAAGCCTGCTCGTCTTTTTATGCACATGCAGTTGCAGAGTAATAAAAAACCGAAAGGGAGACGGTTTCGCCTCAGCGAAAAAATCTTGTCGCTGTCTCTTTATAAGAAGAGTCCCTAAAGTTATGCTCTTCTATGCAAATATTTTACTTTGCCCTCTGCAAAATCAATGAAGCGTTTAGTCGGTCAAATTAAAATATCAGAGGGTATTAATGATATATTGTTTCTTAAGATAAAGAAATCAATGGCTGAAAAAGATTTATCTGACAGGCTATACAGCCTTATGTTTGATGAAATGTCGTTAACGCCTCATTTATCTTTTAACTTACAAAAAGACCAAATAGATGGCTTCGTTACAAATTCAAGCTCAAAGTTTGCTGACCATGTGTTAGCTTTTATGATTAAAAACGTGAAGTATAACTTGAAGCAACCTGTTGCATACTATTTCACTAATGCTTTGACAAAAATAGATTTAAAAAAATATATTCAAGACGTTATACGCCATCTGCAACATTCAGGTGTCATAGTTATTCATACCGTGTGCGACCAAAGCACTGTTAACACTGGTGCCATAACAGAGCTTGTGGAACAGACTAAAAAAGAGTTTATGCGCTTAGGCAAAAAGTGGTGTCATGACCAATTTTGTGTAAATGGTCAATCAATCATACCGTTATATGATACACCGCATTTAATTAAGGGAATCAGGAATAATTTGTTAAATAAACATATGAATTATGTCAGTAATAACACATTAAAAACTGTTAAATGGGAATTTTTCCAAAAAGTATATGCGGCTGACAAAAGTTATGGTGAGCTACGACTTCTCCATAAACTTACAGAGGAGCATATTGATCCGGATAAAATTAATAAGATGAGAGTAAAATTGGCAACGCAAGTTTTTAGCCACAGCGTTGCTGTTGCAACTGAACATTTAACAGCAAGAGGGGACTTACCAAATGAGTGCCGTCAATTGATAGAAATTACACTATTGCTAGACAATTTATTTGACTCATTAAATGTTAGTTCTTTGACGATTCCTAGTGGCAAGATACATAAAGGGCCCGTCAAGCAAAACTCACCACATCACCAACTATGGACAAAAGCAAAATCTGTTTTAAAAACAGTAAAATTTTTTAAAGAACAATATATTGCTGGACAAATTACTGTAAAAGAGAGTATTATTCCTTCGATTAAGAATTTAATTAAAACAATGAAGGAATGGAAGCAATTTGGAAGCTTTTAACATTAAAATACAGATACGATTGCTTACTGACCAGAAATTTCAATCAAGATCCAATAGAAAATTTCTTTGGAAATATTAGAAGCTATGGTGTTAGAAATGTAGCCCCTAATACAAATTCCTTTGAGGGGGCTTATAAGACTTTATTATTAAATAATTTTAATACAGCTCATTCGAATAGATCGAATTGTGAAAAAGACTATAATAAATGTTTGCAGAATTTGAAATTTTTCTTAACAGAAAAAATTGAATGTTCAGAAAAATTTAATAATAATGAGGAAATATTTATAAATGAAAATATTATTACTAATAATAATACAATTGAAAACGATGCTGGTCAGAGCAATTATGTCTGTGGTTGGGCACTCACAAAATATTTAAAAAAAGTAAGTGCAGCGCTTGTAGGAGTAAATTAGTAGATGTCAATGATAAAAACTTAAATAATAAATTCATTAAATTAAAAGAATATGCAAAGGAGAAAAAATGGTTATGCTTTCCCAGCAATGAATTAGAGAACTGCTTCCATGAAATACAAAATATAACGCACTCATCGTTAATAAAAAATATTTCAAAAAGCAATGTGTCAGGGAATATACTTTTTCTTACAGACATATTTGTAACTTTGCCTGCAATATGCTCTGAACACAAAGATGATTTTAAAAATTATTTTGTAAAAACAGTTATAAATATAATCGTCTGTAGTTGGTGCAGGTCAGTAAACAGAATTTTAAAAGGTAAGATGACGTATCAGGGAGACGATTCAACCAAATTGGCGGCACAAACGTATTTTGATAAAAGAAAGCATTACAAGAATAGAAAATAAGTAATTATTTAATTAATTCATTTATGTATTTATTAAGCCACATATACTGTAATGTTTAAATTTTTAAGTGAATAAACTTACAAGTTATTAATACTTTGTTTAATTTTTTCGATCTCTGTTGGCCTTCCAGAATCATAAACGCAGTAGAAATTCGCTGTTACTTCGCTACTCTATACAAACAGTAAATAACGTGTTGAAACTTTAAAAGAAAAATTTTTCATTTAAAAGTTTCAACACGTTATTTACTGTTTGTATAGAGTAGCGAAGTAACAATGAATATGAGTACCTACCTAGCTATAGCTGCTATATAGCTACTATACGACTTGTTTGTTTTTGGGGAAATAATGCAGATGTCGCTTCAAATCAAGTTGGCACCAAAGCTGCGCGAGAGGGCGCTCTTTTTCCCGTATTATTACTACTCTTTGGACGTGACATAAAGTGGTAATGAGGAAATATAAAAAAAAAATATTAGTTCCTGAAATGAAACTAGATGTCGCTATGGAACGTTCTTGATTTCTCCATGACAAACCATCCGGTTTACTTTCATGTTTAAGAGTAAATAAGTTTTCAAAACTCAATAAAAAACTCATATTCTATTTGTTCTTTATAGTATTTGTATTGATATCTAAGTTTCGAACGTTTCAAATTACAGTTTTTTAATGTGTTAGTTAAAAAGTACGGAAATGACTGTCTTTGGTCCATTCGTTTCCTGCAAAAATTAACTTTTGCTAGAGTCGCCATCTAGTGGAGGTGCTCTTTTAGTGCTTTCGTTTTTTTTAAATACTTCCTCATTATTATTTTGTCTCGTTGCGTTCAGAAAGTTTAACCCTATAATGGCACAGCCAAGCACAATCAGATTTCAGAATGAGAGATGATAAGCAGAAATAGGGTATTTAACACTATCGAAAATAAGTTGCATTTTGTGGTCATCCTGATAGATTATAATCTAATAAAGCTTATTTCTTAACATTTGCAGAATAAAACATGTTTAGATTTAGTAAAATAACGTAAGAAAATGCAATATTTTTAGGAATTTATTCAACGACGAAAACGTCCTATAATTGGTCGTCGTCACAACCAATCACGATTCTGTTTACTGGCCTGTGACGTCATCAGCTGTCACGTCAAAGTAGTGTTAGAAATATACATAAAATATCGATGCCTGTAGGTATCGAGTACTTTAAAGTAATTTACTGATAACAGAATACTTTGCCGCTTCTATTGATAAGAACTGCCAAAAAGAAATACAGAAAAAAAGAATCATTTACTAAGCTTTTTAAAAAATCCAAGAAATGGGAAAACGCCAGCAATTTAAAAAAAGAGCTACTTTCATGTTTTTCTCATTTCTTGAACTTTACTATAATAATTCAAAATTCCAAAGTCGATTTTGATGATATATAGTGTTCTTCAAGTTAAAAACTAATTTAAAAAACTCATCGGTATCTGATATCTAATTATCAAATGCCATGC